GGCCAATTTTGGGTATTATCGTTTTTTGAGGTTTCGCGCGCGCACGCAATTTTAAGGCTTGACATGTTTAGTGTCTTTTTACCCGACGTGACCCCATCTTTTATATTTTACCAAAAAATTGGGTAATAATAAATGTTTTATCATTTAATATAGGGGAAACTGTTTTTTTTTTTTTAAATTTCGGTAATTTTTCCTTAATATAGTAAAAAAATAAAACCCCCAGTGGTGAATAAATACCACCAAAAGAAAGCTCTATCTGTCCCCAAAAAAGGGTATAAAATTAATTTCAGTACAGCGCTGCATGACGGAATAAATGTCAGTCAAAGTACCGCAGCGCTGAATACTGAAAAATGGCCTGGATGGGAAGGGGGTTTAACACCGCGGATGTCAACTGGTTAACTTTACTATGTGTTTTATATGTAATATATTCTGCATTCCTAGATAACTATGTTTATAATGCCCCACACTTGTAATATTTGTGAAGTTTTATGCCAAAATGTTACATTTAAAAAAAGTCCTATTAAGGATAAGGTTTACCGTATCTGTTCACCAGCAGGTGGTGGAAGGCTGTCACCTAGGTGAAGACTTCAGAAGTGCCTGGTCAGAACTCCTCAGGGTGTTTATGCATTTCACTGCAGGATCACTCCCTAGCTGTAGCTTACAGGATTTTCACATTAATATAAAGTGACAGTCAAAAAAGACAACAGGAAGTACAAATCTTGCAGCACTGTCTTAGGCAAGTGCAGTCCAGAGGCTATAGCAAACTTAGACAAGTGTAGTCTGAGAATCAGGAAAGTGGCAGACAAGGTGAGGTAGCTATTATCCAAGAAGTATATAACTAAAGACAACCAATCAGAAGTAGACTGTAGAACACCTTAACAAATCCCTGATAATCCACTTATGGTTCTGTTTCATGCAACCCCTATTGGTTCATACAAGTGATCTATCATGCTACACTTGTTGAATGCACTGAAAAGCCTAATCCACATAGTGTGGAACTCACACATGGCACCTACCACAGTGGAATGGCTGACCAATGTGAATCATATGTTGGAAGCAGAGGAATGGACACCTAAACTAGAAGACAAACAAGACAACTTTTACAAACTTTAGGCAGTTTGAATAGCCTTTATTAACCCCCTTAAGTGCCAGCCACAGTTTAAAACAGCACTGGAATAACGGCTATTTGTCCCAGCACGGTTTAAAAATGGCATGGGAATCAGCAGCTCTGGCAGGTCCTGGTGCGAGTAGAAACTAGAAATGTCAGCTGTATGTGACAGACAGGATCCAGCACTAAGCGCAGGAGCTGAAACATTCCTGAATCCAATGATTTGGAGGGGTGTCCCAATACTTTTGGCAAAATAGTGTACTTTGCATTTAGGAAACATTACAGGAAAATTCCTGTTTGTTCTAGTTTTTTACTAGCTATTCTCAATAAAGACCAAGATAATTAAAATTTATGTATTTTAATTTAGTACCAAATTAAAGACCTATCTGTTCCTAAAATTTTTTTAAATACTTTAAAGTAGACTATAAAACCTAAAATATATAATGTGCAAAAAAGATATTGGTGAAAGAGAAAAAGGCTTGAGGACTCAAGTGGTTAACTCAGAGCAGTATAAACATGTATTGAAATGGGCATAAAGTTTAGACACCATCGTTGTCAGTTACAGTTTTATTATCCAATTGGTATAAAAAATGACTGGCCATAGACACTAGACAAGTGCTTGTTTTTTCTCTCCCTTCCCTTCCACCTCATTTCCCCCTTTCCACCTCAGCTCACATCAAGCTTACTTTTTGAATGAATACTGAAAAATGGCCTGGATGGGAAGGGGGTTTAACACCGCGGATGTCAACTGGTTAACCTGGACAAATGCAGACATTGTGCATGTAATTATCATGGATGTAGAATTCTTACTGTGCTACAAATATGCTCATACATGTTCCAGTGGCTGAGGACTTTATTTGTGATATGTTACTCTTTCTTTAGTCCCTATTTGTAAACATGTTTGTATGAAAAATGTGAAAATGTTCAAAATAAAGATTTCAGAAATGAAAAGAAGAAATATGTAAGTGAAAAATGTAAAGCGTTTCTAAACACAAAAACAAAAGTATAATATATTGCAGCTTATCTGTCCTTTAGATGTGGTGACCACATTAACTTTATTTTTTAAGCCATTTTACTTACTTTCACCCGGTGATTCTGCCAGTAACAAACTTCCTGTCTTAGGATGACTCCACTCAATGGAAGAACAACGGAGCCACTATTGGACAGCAGCATTGTCACCCTTTGGAGAGGGTGGTGTTAGATGCAGATTTAGATAGACTTAACTAACAAATTAAATTCAAACTCCAGCTAACACTATTTTAAACAGTTACAAAAACCGTTATTTTTTCTTTTTGGGATAATGTTTTTACATAAATAAAAACTAACCCCTGTCAGTGTTAGAGTATTGAGACAAAACATTTATCTGCCACTTTTTGCTTGACAGTTTGGCCTGGTAAAAGGAAGTTGAAAAATAATAGACTTACTGGCCGGACCACTAGGTACAAATATAGAAAAAAAAAACTTAAATAAGAAAACTAATGCAGCCACCACATTTAAGGACAGGTAATCTGCAATTTATTACATTTTTGTTTTTGGGTTTAGAGGTGCTTTAAAGGTTAAGGCAACTGAACTTTCTGTATTTTTCTTGAAGACATTTCACTGGTCATCCAACAAGCTTTCTCAATTCAGAATTACTTGTGCAAAAAATTATCTGGGAATAAATATGGTGAATGTCGCTCCAATCGACATAAGCTGTTAGTCACAACCAGATGTTGATTGTGTTTGCATAATTGGAGTATAGAAGGTGTTATCACAGAGAGAGGTGTTAAAACAGAATTGTTTGTGGCAGACAAGCTTGGATTCTCTATCCTCTATTCAAGCTTGGATTCTCCATTTTTACATAAATGGCCTATTTCACACCTCTTTTAAACCAGTCCTCCTCCCTGTCTAGGATGCGTACTTGACTGTCTTCAAAGGAGTGACCTTCTTCCTTTAGATGAAGGTATACTGCCGAATCCTGACCAGAGGGTTTTGCTCTTCTATGCTGTGCCATACGTTGGTGTAGCTGCTGTTTAGTTTCACCGACATACAATTCTGAGCACTCCTCACTGCAATGAACTGGTTAGTTCACATTTCTGAACATTTTACTGAAAGTTCCCTGTACTTTCCATCATTCCCAACAGATTGCAAAGCATTGTTCAGATGTTAAAAAAAAGCTGCTCCTTTCCAATTGCATACTTGTAGGTCCTGCACAGTCTGTCTGCAAAAAACCTCTAGGTGATCAAGCCCCCATCCCTCCTGGTTAAATGTCAGATGGGCCAGATGTTAGAAGCAAAGCAGCTGCTCCTGGCACACTTTGCTCATGACACATCCCTCATTTTAGGTCAGGTTCACACCTGGGCATTTTACAGCGCGTTAACATGTGAAAAAACAATAATTGCCTATGGGCATGGTTCCCACCTGGGCGTTTTACAGCGCGTAGGAATGCGCTGTAAAACACCCTATGCCCGAAGAAGTACTGGAGCTTCTTTGGGGCATATTTGCCGCGTGTATCCATTAGGATACAGCCGGATAGCCCTCGAAAACGCGCATTTGTCTTTTCTTTTACCCAAATCCTGGTAAACGTGCATATTCCATACGCCCAGGTGTGAACCCAGCCTTAAAGTTCTGCTCAGGCAGCAAAAAGGCTTAAAGGAGAACTATGAGGTGAATGCTTTTCACTCACCTCATAGTTCTAGCCGACCTGTGAAAATGAGACTGTCACAGGTCGGCTCAGTAGATCGGGAGGTGAGCGAACACATACCGGGTTCGCTCGCCTCTCGATCCTGTCACGGCTCTCTGCCGTGACAGGGGGAGGGGCTGGATTCCCCTCTCCCCGCTCCGATCTGCCAGCGCTGACTGGTGGAACGTACGGGGGAGGGGGCGGGTACAGTTGGCTCTGCCTCTAGATAGGCAGAGCCAGCTGTCACTCACGCAGCTGGGCGGATCCCGTCATCTAAGTCGTGATCCGCTCCGGCTGCGGCGTCTCAGTATACCGCGAGCTGTAGCTCGCGGTATACTGAGCTTAGGGTAACGGGAGGACGCTAGTTTGTGTCCTCCCGTTACCCTAAGGAGAACTATGGGGAAAAACACTGACCCCATAGTTCTCCTTTAAAATGCTTGCTTTTGGCTGTATTGCATAGTTCTACCATATCAGTGATTTACCCAGTGCTTGCCACATTAAGTCAGCAGTAGCAGCTCTAGTACTTTTATCCTCATAATTAACACTTATTAAAGACATGCAAGTCAGATCATACTGTATATCAGTAACAATGTATGACATTCTAAATTCTTTATCTCCATATAATCTATGCACATTTTGCAGGTACCTGTCAGTGTGGAAGATGTAAATGTGAGAACTCTGAAAATAACGGACTTATCTATGGGAAATTTTGTGAGTGTGATGACAGAGAATGTATTGATGATGAAACTGGAGAGATATGCGGAGGTAGGTATTCCAACACTGTAACCATTCACAAGGTTCTTTCCACAATATCCCCAGCTACCAGAAGACTGAGTGATCTCCAGTAGGCACGTAATCCACAACAAGAAGTTACATGGCCGTGCCTGTAATGCCACTCCCAACAGCCAAAAAAAAACCCTTATTGGCCAGAGAACAGTCACATGGATTTGTTCGCATTCGGACGTGTTTTAATTTAGAAACTCAGATGCATCCAAATGTCCAAATTTAACAAAATTTGTATAAATATCCTTTTGGAACAAAACAAAATGTATGTGTCTAATCTCCAGCTATGTGATGCAGACAAGAACATGTGCATTCTACAGAGTACATTTTCTATGGCGATAAAAATCCTTTAAGAGCTAGGGAGATATGTTGTAAAAAAAACAAACTAAAGGGAATGGTGGCAATACCTTCAAAGTGAGGAAATACCTTGCTTATACAGTTGTCACCAGTACAGGTTTTTCCGTTGAATGATTATTAAATGTGCTGCTGTGATGCAAAAGAAAAATATAGCCAAAAAAGTTTGTTCAAACTTCTCTCTTAAACATTTTTGATTTGCTATAATTTTCTGTGTCAGAGAGAATTATTATTATTGTTATTATCATTGTTATTGTCATCATTATTGTCATCCCCATTATCATCATTATCCAGGATTTATATAGCACCAACAGTTTGCACAGCATGTTTCAATGTTTCAAAAGAAAGGGAGACAGTTCAGTTGCTATACAATTCAAGACAAGAGAATTAGGAGGGCCTTGCTCTTGAGAGTTTACAATCTAAAAGGGAGGGGCAAGTGATACAAACGTTGGTAGTCACAAACATGGTCACCAGGACAAATAGAAAGGGTGAATCTCTGTTGGGGACTTAGAAAGCAATAAAAACATGAAAGCAATCTAACCACACACCCCTCTGTCCAAAACTAAAATATGGATTTACAATTACATTACATTTACAATTACATTTCCAGAAAATAAAAGGTTGTTTTCTATAACTGTATTTTAATAAATTGCATAATTCACTGATGTTTTGTGTTTTACTGGTTTATAATACTATGCTGAATTAAAAGTGGTACACAGTTATAGGTATACACATAATGATTTTTACCCCTTTGGGCTTAAGGATTTCGTATTCACACTTGTGTTTTTTAGTTCTACATGCAGTTCAGCCTTAAAACACATACCTGTTTGTTTACCCATTGGTTGTGGGTTATGTAATATCAAGTACCCTTTGACAAGTATACATTTATTAGTAGTACCCCTTTCTACCCCCACTTATTAGTAGTATCCCTTTCCAGTCCTACCTCTTGTGCTATTGAAATTGAAAATGCTCTATCAGATCAGTTTATATATGATTTGGTAAATTCAGTAAAACATTATACTTGTATGATGAATTTACTTTCCCAGGCAGAAGTACACCCTGAACCACCCTAGAGTATATATTCCACTGGTTGAGAACCTGAGGCATAAAATATAACAAAATACCAGAAAAGTTCTTGTTGGGAGAAACTTTATTCATCACAAGGAATTGTTGTTTTAGATAAAGCTGAAATTCATGTACTGTGTAACAGACATACAGAAAATTGCTGCACAGCATGGACAATTATGACACGGTTATACAACAATATTACTTTGTATGTCAAAAGAATAATCACCTCAGGGAACTATCAGTACGTATCTTAGAGATTCTGTGGTTGGAAAATTTTAAGTACTTCTTATTGTTCTGATGCTATGCAGAATGTTTTTGTCCTACATATCACTGCCTATAAGGCAATCTGAGACAATCACTTGCAAATGTGAGCCCATACTTCAACAGGATAATTCAAAATGTTAGTGTTATTTCTTATTAAACAGTCTACACTTATGTTGTTAATTATAACATTTCTGTATAAATAATCTTTTTTGTTGGAGCTTACTTAACTAGCTAACTAATATGTTTTGTGGTTTACCCACTCTAGACATTTCTACGTTTAACTACTGTATCCATTAAAAAAATGCATAGTTCTAAAATCTATTTCAGCACTGCTAAAGAAAATCCTTGTGGTTTATCATACTCCAATAGGTAGTCGAATAGGGAATTATAGTCCATTAAATTGTATTACGTTATTCATAGGCAATAATTGTAACATTATGTATGTGCATTGTTTAGACTGCATGACTCCTATTGTGCTTGCTATGGATTCTCCTTATCACACATATCCAGTCACCATCCAAGCAGAATATTCTCACTCTGTTTTGTTCAGCTTTATATAAAATACAGGTAGAGAAAAGCACATGGAGAATCCTTACCTACAGTACCGTAAGGTCTTAAGGGTAGGCAAAGGTATAGCCTGAACATCCTCACTGCATACACAATCACCCATATCAAAGAGACATCACATACGGTAACTCAGCGGGATGTTTCTGTGCATGCTGAGGGAGAGATATAAGGCATTTTCTGTAATAGAGTGGTATGAGGTTGTGAATGTAGTAGAGATATGAGAGGTATGAGAAGTATGAAACACTTTGAGGGGGATGTCAAAAACTGGGACAGACAAAAACTGGAGCAGCCATGCATGGCAACCAATCAGCTTCTCTCTTTCATTTTCAAATCTTAACTGAGCAAACTGAAGAGAGAAGCTGATTGGTTGTTATCGGCAACTGTTCCAGATTCTGTCTGCTCCAGTTTTGATAAATTCCCCCCTTTGTGTAGTAAAAAAGAATGAGGCATTGAATGTACTTCGAGAGGTTTAAGGCACTGCAGGTAGTAGAGAGGTATGAGCTACTACTTGTTGTAGAGAGGTCTGAGGTGCTTCCCTTAATAGAGAAATATGAAGTGCTGCCTATAGTAGGTAAGCGTAAATCACTGAGTGAAAATTAAAGGGACGAGGCACTGTACATATGAAGAACTATGTGTAGAGTACAGAAGCATGAGGGTATGGATGTAGTAGAAAGTAAAAATAGTATTTGTGTACTGGAGAGGTATGGGAGCCGTGTAGTCGAGATGTATGAGATAATGCCTATAGTAGAGAGGTATGTGACGCAGCGTATAGAAGTGATGTATGAGATGCTACATGTAGTAGTGAGTTATTAGGTGCTGCATGTAGTGGGGTATTATGAGACACTGCATGTGGTAGAGAAGCATGAGGGTCTGCCTGTAGTGAAGAAGTATGAGGGTCTGTCTGTGGTACAGAAGTATGAGGGTCAGTATATGATAGAGAGGTATAACAGTTTCCATGTTATAGGGAGGGATAAGGTGCTGTTTGTAGCAGGGAGGAATGAGGGTCTATGTGTAGTAGAAAGGTATGAAACACTGCTTGTAGTAAAGAGATATGAGTCACTACCTATAGAGGTATGAGCTGCTGCCAATTGAAGAGAGGTATGAAGGTCAGAGAGGTTTGAGAATCTTTGTGTACTAGAAATATGTAAGGATCTGCATGTAGTAGAGGAGTATGAAGCACTGTATGTAGTATTTATTATTATTTATTACAGGTATTTATATACACTGAGTGGCCAGATTATTATGACCACCTGACGTTTGTAGGCAAATTAGCTATAATTAGCTATAATTAGCTATATGGAGGGCCAGACCATTATAAATAGGGAAGCAGGTTGTTTACCCAGACAGTAGAAGTGATTTTTTTCTGAAGATATGGGTAAACAACGCGATTTAACAGCCTTTGAACGTGGGATGATTGTTGCCGCTCGGAGCCATGGAGCGAGTATCAGCCAAACAGCAGAATTTGTTAAATGTTCAAGAGCAGCTGTTGCTAAATAGTTTTGAAGACTGGACTGTCAGCCAAAAATCTGGGTCTGAATGTGCGAATTGTGGCCGTCAGCGACTAGTCAATGTTAGGGCAGAACGGAGAGTGGCAAGACTGGTACAAGACAACAGAAGGGCAACAGTGCAGTGTCAGATTCCTCGCATCACCTTTCAACATCTCGTGGAGTCACGGGGCACGAGGTGGCCCAACGAAGTCATCTCATGGAGTCATCTCGTGGCCCAACAAAGTACTGATGGGGTGGTCATAATAATCTAGCCACTCAGTGTATAACGTTGACAATTTACACAGCATTTTACATGGTTGCGCATTCACATCAGTACATGCTCTCAAGGAACTCACAATCTAAGGTCCCTATCTCACATTCACACATACAAGGCTAATTTAGACAGGAACCAATAACCTACTAGCATGTCTTTGAGGTGTGGTAGGAAACCGGAGTACCCGGAGGAAACCCACTCAAGAACTGGGAGAACATAAAAACTCCATCCCTGACCAGGATTTGAAGCGGCAAGCGGGGATAAGGGTTAGTGAGCAGTAAAGTGGTATGAGGTGCTCCGTGTAGTAGAGAGGTATGAGGTGCTGAGTGAAATAGATAATTATGATGTGCTGTGCATATGAAAGTCTATGTTTAGTAGACTGGTATGGGGGTCTGTCTATAGTAGAGAAGAATGAGGTACTGCATATAGCAGAGAGGTATGCGGCACTAAGTAAAGTAAACAGGAGTGATGGTCTGTATGTAGTAGCAGAAAAACCCAGTATGAGCTGAAGAAATGGCACTTACAAAGTGTTAGTCCCAGGTTAGAGCCACTATAATGCTTTGCATGTTTTATTAAATACAGCTGTATCTTGTTTTTTGCTATCAACATCTGAAAATTGAAAAAAAAAAAATAGCATGCCACCAACCCCCACCAAAAGGGAACACATTAATAATCAAGAGCACAAACAATTTCTATAATATTTAATCAAAAGATAGCCATTCATCCATAAACCATCCATGGAATTAGCATATAGAATTAATTCAACTGGAACTGCTGTTCCATGATTCAGAAGTAACACCACCTAGGGTGCAAAACAGGTGTGGAAAAAAGAAGAAGGAGATTTAGTTAATGAAGATGTGGAAAAAAACAAGTAGTTAGTACAAGGAATGTGCCAGGGTGCTGTCACTCGTGATAAAACTAATGCATTGTAAATCTAATTTATATCTAACCATTGGCCCCACTAATGGCAACAACAACTGTGTCAAATGCTGGGCAAATAATACACTACATACAGGTATTTCATCATTGCATCAAAAACAAGTAGGTATGTGTATTAAATAAAACAAAATCTTATCAAATAATACATTTAAAATGGCTAACTAGAAAAAAAAACTTAAAGCCTATATTTAAAATAAACTGAAAAAAAGTGATGCTGCCCATAGAAGTCAGTCAAACTGTTTGTTTTTATTTTATTTTATTTTACTTTAGAAGCATGAGGAGTTTTACTGCTATAGGGAGCACACATGCATGTTTTTACTTTTAAACATGCAAGTGTGTTAAACTTGGGATGTCAAGATACCACTTTTTCAAGACCAAGTACAAGTACTTTCCCTCAGGTACTTGCTGATACCAATTACCAATAATTTTCCGAAAGGGACATGTGACATTGTTTTCTAAAACAATACAGACTGATGATTTTAGGGCAGTTTCTCAACAGGGCTAAATACAGATTTAACCAGGGCTGAATACAGATGTCACCAGGGCTAAATACAGATCTCACCAGAGCTAAATACATGTGTATTCAGTTCTGGTGACATGTGTATTCAGCTCCAGTGACTTGTGTATTCAGCTCAGGTGACTTATGTATTTAGCTCTGATGACATGTGTATTCAGCTCTGGTGAGACCTCACCGCAGCTGAATACACATGTCACCAAAGCTGAATACACATGTCACCAAAGCTGAATACACGTCACCAGAGCCAAATACGAAAGTTACCAGAGCTGAATATACATGTCACCAGAGCTGAATACACATGTCACTAGAGCTGAATACAGATTTCACCAGAGTTGAATACACATGTCACCAGAGCTGAATACACATATCAGCAGAGCTAAATACAGGTCTCACTAGAGCTGAATACATATGTAACCAGAGCTGAATACACATGTCACCAGAGCTGAATACACATCACCAGAGCTAAATACAGAACTCGCCAGGCTGCATGCCAATCTCACCAGGGTGGCATGTGGATTTCTCCAGGGCTCTGCGGGCAGTGGCTTTGCTGGTCGGGCGAGTGCCAGCCTGGTATGTGGGTGGAGTGTTGAACTGGTGGATGCCGATGTTCTATTGAAAGGCTGTGCCTTTGCCGGGAAGAAGGAGGAGAAGATAAAGAACCCAACAGGCACTGCCAAGGACAGCTACTGCCAGGTCCCCAGCAGGTTGCCTGAGGTTCCCACAAGCATGGGAACTCAGCCAGCCGCTGTGGTTTAAAAATTTAAAGGGCCGGTATCAGCCTTAGGAATCGGGCCATTTTCAGGAGTACAAGTGCTCGTGAAATAGCCCTGTATCGGCCCCGATACTGATACTAGTATCGCTATCAGGACATCTATAGTTAAAACCCAACTTGAGACTTCTCTCACCTGACCTTTTACAAAAACAAAAAAAAAGCTGTACACATATCTTTCTGTCTTTGATCTGGCTATGATGTCACAGGTCCCCTTTGCTCTGCTTTCTCCGACAGAAGGTGAATTCTAGGCAGGTATCATAGACAAAAACGAATGGAGCTCCGTCATCTGTTGCATCTTGTATTTTTTAATGGGAAGAAGTACACCTTACTTGTACCTGAATATGAGCTGTTAATAGCCTCTTGGAGTACAGCAGAGCTGGAATGTGAGAGGAAATAGCAGCACAGGTAGCCCATTTAATTTGTATGCTGACAAGAAGCATGCTGGCAGGAAGAAAAAAGCAGAGTGACAGAAAGATGAGCTCATCACTGTGCTGCTATCCAGTCACGTGCTGGGCTGGGTCCAGGACATTCTGGGCTCACAGAAAGTGGGATCAATGATGTTGGCCATCATACTAAGGGCATTTTATGGCAGAAAAGATGTAATGTAGGGAAGAGCACTGGATTGAAAGTGAATATTGCAACAAAACCTTTTATTTTATTTTGTAATAGGCTATTCATTTGTATATTGTTATCTTTTACTGTAATTTTGTTTTAATGTTGCAGAGGGTAGTGCCAAATGATGGATTTATGCATCAGTCTGCAATTATGGAGCTGTAGTCAATGCATGGGTCAGGCTCTTGACACCCTGGGCTCAAAGTAATTGGGTTGAATTTTTATAAAATAATTCCACCAGTTTAGTTTAGTCCCAGTGTTCAAAGTGCCTTAATTCACCCCATAGTATTCAGCCACCCAAAAATTGTGATCATTACTGAATCCTGCCAAAATGGGTAGCTGAATGTTTTGTGTTTACTGAGGACTCCATACTTACCATACATTGCATTTTGGGGCAGTGATAGTCAGACTTTGATCTAGGGACATTACTGAATCCTGCCATTTGACCTTTGTGCAAGGCACTCTGCATACAACGAGCCAGAGGTGAATTGGTAAAGTTGGACCACTTTACTAATTCGCTTTGTGCAAATGGGGTTTACTGGTGCAGCAAACCTTTTTTCATAGCAAACAGAATGAATATTCAGCAAGCTCTTACTTATGCAAATCAATTCACTCATCTGTACTTATTTTTACAGAATTGCAAATTCTGTACCTAAGACCTGCAACTTTGTGTGGAGCCAGCTTGGTTCAAGCCAGTCATTTTATTTTTTAAGAAATAGCTGAATACCTTTGTTTGGCTATTTTTGCAGCTAAAAAACACAGTGCATTACTGTGGCACATTAAAAACTAACCACTGAATCTCCAAATATCAGCAAACAAAAATAGTAGAAGCCATAGGTGCTGTATTGTTAGAATGCACCATTTAGCATATATACAAAAAACGTCATGGTGGTAAAGAAGCTGCCATTAGCAGGGCAGGGAGCAATATTTGCCATATGTGTGAGGATTTGGTTTACTAATGTACTCCAGTGACCCAAAGTTAGCATATAGCAGGCAGTGCCTGCTACTTGCTGACAGAGCAGAGCCACACTGCAGCTAGGAAAGATCCCCAACCCGCTGCCTGATTGACAGCTGGCTCTCCCTCTCTAGAGCCAGAGCCAGCTGTACCCACCTCCTCCCCTGTCTGTCCCTCCAATGAGTGAACACAGAGAGAGAGAGGAGGGGGGATCCCTGTGGGGAGCAGGAGAAGACTGTGAGCTGAGCAATCAGCAGTTTGTGTTCTCAATTTACAGAGCCGGTGTGTGACAGCTGCAGTGTTACATCCCGGCTCTAAGTATTGGGAAGAGTATATTTTACTCTGCCAATACTTCTCCTTTAGGGCTAGTTCACACCGTTGATGTGCCTTGCGTTCCTGTGCAGGCAATTGCATTGCGGCCAGAGAATGTGGCTATGTCATCATTGAGTTTGATGGACCGTCATGCTCCCTCCTGCTCCACAACAAAGTGAGCCGGCCACAATGTGATCCAGTGCGTTCCGGCCAGAATGGGACTAGAACGCACTGAAGATGGTGGGAACTAGCCCTTAATCACTTAGTGTTGAGTAGGCTTATTTATTTTTAACAACAACTAGGCGTATTTACTTTTAACAACAACTAGTTAAGTCAATAATTGACCTTAGTGTGCTGACTCCAGCAGGTTACAGTAAAAAATAAAAAGGCTGTGTAGATGTTGGGTCATTTACTTTAATAATAGTTGCAACTTTGCAAAGTCCCGCCTTCAGGCTAGATTTGCACAAGTGTTCCTCATCTACTTGCCAACACTGTATTACACTTTAGTTGGCTGTACAATGTCAACTGTCGCTTCTCACAATTACTTTTTTAATAATTACTTTTTCTTTTCTTCTAGAGCTACTGTAATGGCAGACAGCCACTGGTGTGACTAAACACGGTGTTAGATCTGATAAATAAAATAATTTTGCTATTTTAAGTATAATCATTGTTGTCATTTCTAGAGCAATGTAGCCCAAGAGAAGATGACTAACTTGTAGAAGAGAGAGGTGGAGGGTATTAAAAGCTGGTCTCTTCAGCTGCACAGTTATTTTGAACAATGATGCCTCTTGCTTTGCTGCTTTGGCAGCCTGTCAGCTTCAGGCAACTTATTTAAAAGATTCAGAATTATAAGTCAGGATCACAGACTTTATATAACTGCAGCTACACTGCTGGCTGAGAGATCATGGCACATTAAGTAGAAACACACTTTCCCAAGAGAAAAACTACTAAAGGGTAAAGATGATGCATTCATTGTAGAAGTGATGCTTTGGATTCAAACCGTGTTGCATGTCTGTTCTCTAAGGCTTTTGGTTCCCCAAATTTAGTACGAGCTCCTCTACTTCTGCACACCTCCATGCCTAGGTACTCTTTGCTTTTTCTTACTTTCGCTGTTTTCTGGAATGTATTATGCCTTAACATCACAGAGGATGCGAGCAGTTCTTTGTCAAATGCAATAATAATCAGCTTACATTGAGCAGAGTGTACCAGCACAAATCATCATCTATAATGAAAATATTATGCTGTATTATGTTTTAAGACTGCATCTGTCATTTAAAAATACACTTTTTCTCACTGTATAAAATTTGTTTTGGGTGCAGGCCACGGGAAGTGTTACTGTGGAAACTGTTACTGCGAGGCTGGTTGGCATGGCGATAAATGTGAATTCCAGTGTGACATCAGCCCATGGGAGATTAAGAAAAGATGTACATCTCCAGATGGCAAAATCTGCAGCAACAGAGGTGTGTCATTATTAATGAACTTCACATCTGTATGTCTTTCAATTAGTCTTACGCAATAATTGTGTCTGGCTTTTTTCATTTACTAAGGCTATAAATAAACCCTACAACAGGCCTTAAAGGGAACCTGTTAGATCGAATGTTACCCATCACAATTGAGTCTGACATCCAATGCTGAAGACTGTTTTTGGAAGGCTAGTTTTGGGGCATGCAGATCACATTGTACATGATGCCTCAAAACTAGTACAGTACATGGGAGGTAGAGAATGGTAACTTCAGCAAGTCATTGGGAGCATCCTCTGTGCTAGGTAACATCAGTCTGGACATACTCACTTTGAAGATGGCAAATATTTAAAAAAAAACCTCTATTTAATAAAATGTTGCATTATTTAATACCATCCATGAATGGTTTTAATATTTTTTAGTTAATTGGTTTTAAATATTGCTACTATAAGTACCTAAACCCTCATGAGTTTCCTCTAATCCCATGCACATCAAAATTCCTGCTGAAAGGAAGAAGCAACAATGTGAGCTATTTTGGCTCTACTGCATTGCATAGTGCTTATATTGGGAGTTGGCTAACTGGAGGAAAGAGCAAAGTGATGACCTCCTCATTGAGCTTTTTCTGTTTGCTCTCTTTTTGGATCGCTGAGGGCAGCTCAGTGGCAAAGCCGTCTTTCTCAAATGGAGCAGAGGAAAAGGGATGTCACTGACCTACATGACTGTGCAGTCTGACCAGGCATTGTAAATTGCAGGGTTTACTTAACAAAATTATAAATCCCATGGCAATTAAAACACACACAGAGTATATATTGTTGCACACGTTATTTGATTTAATATGTGTTGTCTAGAATATTTCCTGTAGTTATCACATAAATGCATAATAAAATGGTTGTTATACACTCTTCCAATCAAGTTGCCTGTATGCTATAAAGAAAGTGAGTGTATTTTATGCATTCTTGTTTATTCAGCACATCCAGCCCTAAAGAAACAGAAGGATAATCTTGTTATTTTTAGGGAGCTTCATGAGATCACCACTGATAAATGGTAAAACTTGAAATTCTATTAACCCTGGGGCAAAGTCCAAGATCTAAAGAGTGCTGACTGAAATTCCTGTATAGGTCACAAAGGGAAATCAGTTACGTAAAGCTTTTTTTCCAGTCACCAATCATTATTTATTTATTACAGGTATTTATATAGCGCTAAAAATGTACACAGTGCACATTCCCTATCTCATGCATACAGAGAAGATTTAGACAGGGGCCAATTAACCTTCCAGGATGTTTTTGGAATGTGGGAGGAAACCCATGCAAGCACAGGGAGAACATACAAACACCTTGCATATAATGACCTGGTTGGGATTTGAACCAGGGAACCCCCATGCTACAAGGCAGAAGTGCTAACCACTACACCACTGTGCTGCCCAATCATATTGCAACAACTTTTTCACACAGTTTCTTTGTTTCATTTTCCACAAATCTACGCTATGACTTTGATGCCAGTTTTCACAAAATAAAGAAGAAAGGGGAAAATTTCCCTTTGAATTTAAAACCAACCATAGAAGGATGGATCAAAAAATCCAATTGCAAAACAAGGGAGTTTTTTTAGGTGTTCAATGTGTATGCACACAACCGTTTTTGTTATATAAAACTAATATATTTATTCATGCATATGTTAAAAACACATATACATATTAAAAAGCCATGTACTGAGACATGTATCACTATTAACAGGAATGTACTATGATCATCTGTTTATTATATACCTATGATTGCTTCTTTGTATATATACTGTATATTGTATATTGATGAAACAAATAATAATGGTGTTTCGGATTCGGAGGCAACAAACCTCCAAATCTGAAAATGCACATCTAATAAAAAACTGTGCGGCAGCCATATTGGCCATCGGCACGTTCTGCGCAAATGCGCCACCATCTTGGAGGCGGGGCGCATGACATCACCCGACACCAGCATCGGGTGACGTCATATGCATGTAGGGGTGCCATCATCCTGGATGCAGCAAGATGGCGATGCCCGTACAAAACAAATTAATATATGCACAAATATATTTTCGTATATGGTCATATAATAATTAGTTATTTCGGATTCGGATGAACTGCCGAATCGAAGGAATTTTGTGAATCAGCAAGTTCATCTGAATCCGAATGCACATAGCTAAATTAATAAATATATTGGCTTTATATAACAAAACTGTTGTGTGCTTGGACACCTGAAAATTTCTATTTTTTGCAATTGGATTTTTTTTAGTGTCTGTTTATTTGCCTCATCTATGGTGCAGGTCCTCACAGTTTAAAACCAACCAGTGTGATTGGGTTTTGTAATATGACTTCATATTCCTAAAGACTTTTGTTTTCCTATACTGTACATAAATCATTTTATTCAGTATGGCTTAGACAGCATTATACAACAAGAAACAATCTGCAAAACAAACAGTTAAGCTGCAAAAGTCTTTCCTCTGGCTGCTGTCCAAAACGACATTACTGTATAGCAAAAAAAAAAAAAAAAAAAAACACCTTTTAAAACATTTTTCA